TCCCAACTGGCCTAGAGGCGAGGCCAGGGCCTGCATGGCCAAAGGTCCCAGAAGGGGCCACTGCCAAGAGGGAAGGAGGTCTAGGGAGTTTTGCAGCCCAGAATGAGGGTGGAGATTAGGCTGCCTGAATAGGAGGGATTCAAGTTGTGTCCAAATGCCAGGTGGGCATATAGTGAGGCCCAGTGTGAGGTCGGAGCCATATAGTTATGCCATCTGCAAAGCATGGGACACAGTGTAGGGATGGTATGGAGTCATGTATTACAACCTTGGCATCAGGCATTAAATGGGCAGCCTCCCATTTGCAAAACAACTACTCCAAAGGCATGGCAGACAAGGCAGATGAGCAGATTTCCCTAGATTGGTGGGTGGGCCAACATTGGGACTAGCCCCAGGATGGCCCCCTGTCTCGGGGGAATAAACTTGTTCTTCTAAGATGTGTCTGCAGTAAGCATGGTGCTGGGAGTGGGCAGGGAGTATGTGGGGGTCCAGGGGCAGTGGTGCAGGCTAGAGTGGGGAGTGCTGGAGGAGGTGGTTGGCCAGCACCTCCCACACCTATTGCCCTGGCCCCTGCTGGCAGGTACGTGGCTCTCCTGGGGCCGCGGTGGGCGGCCACAGTGGGGTGGGGGGGATGACACCACTGCTGCTGTTGGTGGTGCTCCTGCTGCCAGGTATCCTCCATGTGTCTCACCTCCTCTGCCCAGACCTCATGGGAGAGTTCCCCCCAGGCCTCACAGATGTTATGTAGCATGTAGGCTGCAACATTTATTCAAGGGAGGTTGTCCTCAGCAAACTCAAGGCAGGTGGTGAGGGTGCACCAGCATCCCTTGAGGCTCCCTAAGGCACACTCCACCAAGGCATGGATCTGGCCTGGTTTAGTGGATCTGGCAGCAGTTAAAGTGGGTCTGACATGGGTCCAGGTGCCCAATGTAGGGCCACATGAGCCAGGACAGAAGTGGGTAGGTAGGGTCCCTAATGAGGAGGGGCAGGACCACCATGACACCTGGCTACAGGTTGGGCACCACCAACACAAAGTGCCCACTCTCCACTAGGCCTGGCAGGGCGGAGTTTCCAAAGACTTGGGTGTCATGGGCACTGCCCGGGCAGCTGGTACTCATATACATAAAGGCACTTCAGTGATCTGCAATGGCCTGGAGCACCACAGAGTGAAAGCCCCTATGGCTGTAATAAGGGCAATCACCTTGGGAAGGGCAGGTGACAAGGATGTGGATCCCATTCAGGGCCCCAATGCATTGGACGAATCCTAGGGCATGGAACCCCACCACTGCCGACAGGGAGTGGTGCACATGGAGTACAGTGTGCCCCAGCATGTCCTGGAGGGTGTTGAACACCGCCAGGATGGGGTCCCCAGCGGTGGGCTTGCCTACAGCAAACAAGTGGCCAATGTAGCGGAGGCTGGCAGGCATGGCCAGCTTGACAGGACAAGGGCCAGCTGGGTGTCCATGGGGAGAGGCAGCCAAATGCAGGTGTCCTGCCACTCCAGGTGTGGCCAGAGCTGCTCCAGAAGATCCTGGAAGGTGTCCTGGATCATCCTGAAGGCCTCCAGCCACTGTTTATCATCCCACATGTGCTGGAAGACATGCTGCCAATAGTCTTGGCTGGTGGGGTGGGCCCAGAGGCCCAGGAGGGTGATGGCAACTCCAGCAGTGGCATCCTGGAGCCTGTCAGCAGCATCCCTGCTGGGGTTTGGCCAAGTGGATGGGGTTGAGGCAGTAGGTGTGCAGGCAGGATGGGGGAGATGACGGTGGACCAGTGGTGGTCACCATGGCTGGTCAGCAAGGCCAGCACAGCAGCCAGCAGGACCATGGGGCACTGGTTGTCACTGCCAGGGGCAGGGGCAGGAGCAGCCATGGCATGGGGAGGCAGAGGCAACAAGGACAGCACTGCTGCATGCTGTCCCCATGTTGTGCATGCTGCTCCTAGCCAAGGAATTGGCTTGCCAGAAAGCAGCGAGCCGGGCTGGCTTTTTAAGAGAGCTGCCAGCTGTTGGCAACTGCAGCTGGGGCCTGGAGCTCCCCTGGTGGCAGCCAGGGCCCAATGCAGGGCCCCAGGAAACAGGAGCAGATTGGCTGTAAATCTGCTCCCGCTTCCCTGTACCTGTAGACGCCTGCCCAGTACCGTTTACTTGCAAGTAATTTACCCATGGGTAAACCGATGCCACAGCTAATGTACATGTAGACACACCCTGAATGTAGAAGCAATTAGGAGGTGTATAAAATTTCAGCAAATGGGTAACTAGTGTCCATACACGATGTTGCAGCAAACAAAAATAAGGCCTTAGAGTTTTTTCTTTATTCAGAATTAACTATTCCTTTGATTAGACCAGTGGTTCCCAGCCCCGGGTCACAACCCAAATGAGGGTCACGGGGTCAATGCTGGCAGCACCGCACACAAAAGACAAGTTGTGCCGCGTGCAGGAGCTCCCCTGCCTCCGACCCTGGTCCGCCACTGCCGCTGCACTGTACTCCTAGCAGCAGGTCACAGAAAAAAAAGGTTAGGAACCACTGGATTAGACAGAAGTGGCAACTGATTTATGTCTGATCTCAGAGGAAGAGATTTCAAGGAGGAGCACAACCTGAACATTCACTCATGACTCCTTTTACATTTGTTGCTCATTTGCCTGACAAGCTGGTCAGCACGAAAATTCTACCGTTGTTTTTAAAGCGACTGTCTCAATATGTTCATTGTAGTGTCCTGTTGTCATTATTTAGTATGCCAGCTGGACTGGGAATTTGCTTTGGAGGAAGGGTTAATGTGAAATGCACAGTCAGACTTTCCTCATATCCTGATATAAAAAAAGAAAGCAAGATTTCCTCTCATCTGAGAATTTAGATTGGCCTGCACTAGTTTCTGGGACCCAACAGCTACAGCAGCTAATTTTAGCTAGAGCAAGACCTGAGGATATTCAGAAGAAATTTCTTTGTGTAGAAAGAAATTAGTGTGTGGAACAGGCTGTCAAGTGTAGCAATTGTATCTGTCATGAACAGTCTGTAATACATAACTGCGACAAGGATAGAGGAATATTAGAGGAGAATGACAATACAAATAAAAATGCTAGACAGAAAGGTAGATAGACCTGGATAAATCATCTATCCATTTTTAATGCTGAAATTTTACAATTGCAACCTTAGAACCCAAGACAATATTCACAGCAAATATATGAATTATCGTGCTAGAGAGTTGACTTAATATGTTCTGTAGTATCTTTTCTTACAAGCAGTGTCCTAAAATATAGTTTTTCATAAAAATACAGTAGTGTTTCTACCCTCACTAGTTAGTAACAAGACAAAGCAACTTGAAGAAAATTATTTGGGCATTAGTAAGAAGGGTAGTTGTGGGGAGGCAGTCACAAACAAGAAAATGTAGTAAAAACAGGGAAATACCTAAAACAGCCCCCACAAATGTGGTTAACTATCATTATCTGACTGATAGCTCTGAAAGAGAGCATCAGAATACTTTAAAATACTTAAGTAAAAACAAACAAGTGTTTCAAAACTAGATGAGGTCTGATTCCTGATCCACTAGAAAAAAGAATATTGAACGTAGATGAGTCTTGTTTTATAGGATAAAACAGCTAGAGTTGATGGAACTGAAGTGGAAGCCAGAAAAACTCCCTGATGTGTTTCTAATTGACACTACATCATGAGGGTAGAGAGCATATGATGGAATGTGGCAGTAAGATATAAAGTCTCATTCTACAGTACCTTGGAGCTTGTGTTTTTATTTACTATGCAGCATGAGTGTATCATAATGGACAGTTCTGATTTTGTTAACTTACACCTGTGATAATTTTATGCTGACTTTGCATCAACATAAATAAAAATGTACAGTGCAAACTACAAGAGAATCAAGACTCAGCTGTTGGTAAATGGGAAAATGAGGTGAAAGGAAAAATGGCTAGCAGAGTTGAACAATTGTGGGCTAGCAGTTATTAAATTGCTGTTCCACATTTGCAAGTTATAAATTGCTTATTTTTCATGCTAACATCCCTATTCAAGACTTTAAAATTTCTCAGTAATTTAATCTACAGTGGGATACAGGGCACTTCTACACAAGACACTAACTGCAGTAGCCTAATAACACTGCACAAACTGTAGTGTACCATGCAAAAACTGTACTAATACGTGACTGTGCAGTAGTATTAGGATACTGCACAGTAAGTGTCCCTAAAAAGCCATGCACTGGCACTACTGCGCAATAGCACAAGTTACTGAGCATAGATTTAGTACTTGGTTATTCAAGTACTAAACTTAATGTGCAGTGACTATGGCGCATTCATGAATGTGTAGATGTGCCCACAGTGTCCCAAATTTGTGGCAAGTTATTTCATTCCAAACAAGGAAATAACCTACTGTTGTTATCTAGCCTTTGAGACTTGGAAAGTAAGATGTGCCAACAACACCCAAAATTCTAATAGAAAAATTGCTAGTTTGACCGATTTTTTTACTTTTATGTTGAAGAAAAAACAATCTGACTTCTCCCTAATGATTTGGAGCCTATCTTATATTCTGTAGGCGTATTTACTTAACTTGCACAAAGAATAAGGTGCAAAATCAAATAAAAAACCTTGGAGTTTTTTATTGTCTACTGCTCCATTTTATCCTTTTTATATCAACATATACTATGCTTGTTTCAATTTTGTGTAAACCAGGAGAATGGATAATCTTGCTGTATACTTCTACCAAATATATATATAATATAACATTATATAAATATTATTTTATTATATATAATGTTTACTGTTAATTTTATTGTTTTGGCAAAAGCTTTAAATAAGCTACTACTATTACTACTACTATTTTTGTATTATAGTAATGTTTTCTATACTCAAATCCTAAAATCTTATCCTTAAATAATGTGTGTAAACAAATGTTTAATTTTTAACTTTACAAATCCTTAATTTTTTTTCAATGTTAGGTGTTTCCAAAGCCTCTTTAGACATGCAGAATATATAAATCTCCAGATTCAGAAAGAAATGAGGCCCTAAAGAAGTTTGAAATTGGCTTCTCCAACTCAGCAATGGACTGAACCTATTCATCAATAGGGTGTTTTAGAGTCCATTAGTGTAGGTAAGTAAACACTGTTTCAAATGCTAGATTTAAACTTATTTCCTTTTAAGGTTATAATTCAGGAAAACAAATAAGCATATGCTGAAAACTATCCACATTTAAGTAAGCACTTGGGTGGAAGTTTATATTCCATTTATTCCCATGAGATTTAAATTCACTGCTAGGTGCCATCTTGATTTAGCATGTTTTCCTGAGTTAAGTCTAAAATAGTATGTTTCTCATATGCCTTAACTTCACCTAAAGGTCACAGATTGACCTTTCAAATGCAGGTAATCTTATTTTAGCTGAATTCATGAACAAACAACCCTTTTAAACTATAAATGATTTCAGAGTATAAAGGTTATAAACTTAATATAAAACTTTAAGGAACTTTAATGACAGTTGTAGATTCAAGCTGTGTCTGCTATTGGTAATTTTAATAGTAACCAGAGTTGGAGAGATTAAATTTGGAGACATAGGCAATGCATGAATCAAAGGCATTTGCATCTAATTCTGCAATAAAAAGAAAAGGAAAAACCCGACCACCTACAGTCTACTATTGTATTACAAGACATGCAGTTTCCTTAGCAAAATACATAATGAAATACAATCCTTTACCAGTTCATCATTTCAACAACTAAATCTGATTTTATAGAGAAAATGTAATTTAATCTCATCAGGTTTCATAGTGCTGAAATACTACACTTAACAATAGAAGCTGATGTGATATGTTTCAAATTAAATTGGATTGCTACAAACAGTGTTTTTTTCCAGAGGTTGGCCATGACTAAATCTGTTTTTTTTATTAATTTTGATCAAGAGATTACTCATTATATTGCACAAAAAATCATCAGGTCTGATGAATTCAAATAATCTCAATGACATGCAGGTTGGATTAAAAAGATAAACAGATTCACAGAAAGAAGTGTCTCACTTAAACAAAGACAGGAATTTACACACCTTATTTTGCCTTAATTCCGCATATGAAACTTGTGCCTAAGTTAATAAATGTGATCCAAAACCAGTGAAGTCAATGAATAGACCCCTATTGACATCATTAGTATTTGGTATGTACAGCAGCACAAGTGGCCTGCCTGAGCCCCAACTCCAGCCTGGCTAGGGGAGGACCCCTGGGGCACCAGTAGCCCATTGCATCTTCACAGACTTCTTGTTTTCTTTATCTGTCTTTCTATCTTGGAGAACTCATAACAGCAGCAGAGTCTCCCAATACTTGAAGGAGGGTGTTTGTGCCTGAAAGCTTGCAAAAATGTGTTTTCCAACTATTTAGTTGGTCTAATAAAAGATACCACATCTACCCAAAAAATCTTGCCTGCCTATGTCCTTAGACCAACACAGCTACAACCAACCTCAGAAGTTTTAGTGTATTTTCCCATGACAATTAAGTAATACAGGCTTGAGATCACATAACCAAACTTCAATAAAATGTAAGTTAGAGAGAGAGGCAGTAGCCATATTAATGCATTACACAATGCTTCTTTGGTAATAGCAATTCAGAATAAGAAAAGAGGCATCTCAGGCTGTACTCAGACTTGTATGCTTGTAGATTATGGTACTTAATAAGTGAATTTAACTTTTATTCCCTCATCTACAATTTTTTAAAAACATAAAAAAACCTGGAGAAAAAAACACCCAAAAATGTTTGTTTCTTCTAGAAGCAGAGTGCCAGCCAATTCCTCCTTCCTTTCAAAGACTTCCAGATGGCTTTGAGCTAATTCCAATACCAACTGTCCAATTCCTAGATGCCTGTTTTGACAATATTGTTTGTCTTTATTTGTTTACCTTAGGAGTATGCCTGTGGTGAGATTTATGGCTTGCATTAACCTCTTCCATGGGAAAACCTAGGTGAGGAAGCAGGTGGGGAAATGAAATTTCTGAGGTTCCCTCCTTTGGGCTCCCCCTACTGCTTTCTTAGTGAGATCTGGATTTATGGCTGCACGCAGTTTGCCATCTATATAGCAGAAACAAATGGGCTGCGTTCCCAATCCATATAGGTCCCCTGCAATATGCACATCTAAGGATTAATTGGAAAAATATTTGCGTGTGAATCCTGTATTTCTGCACTGCATCCAGGCCAATGGAATCCTCTAATGTTTGGCAGTTCTTCAAACTCTGTGTTCCTAATTCCACAGTTCAAAAAGGGCTGGACCTAAAAGCTGATACAGTCTGATTCTATATTAGCTTCTGAGTAGATTCCCCAAAACATTTAATATAGGAAGGATGTGAGTTCCCGTATTTTAACCTAATTCAACACACAGGAATTATGTAATCCCCAAAGAGGGGTTGATACCATAAATGCAACTGCTTGGAAAAAGACCCTACATTTACTTAGAGAAAAGGCAATATTTTATAGTTCTAGGCCCTGCTTTTTAAAGCAGACTTCTCCTGGTTTTTGTTTTTATGGTCATAATGCTCCAATTAATAGAGTGTGCAGAACTTATTATTCTTCAGTCCAAGAAACTGATTAGAGTGTACAATCAGGAATTCAACTCTATGACAGAATTTGCATCAATATTTGGGTGCAGGTACAAAACTTGAACCCTCAAAAGAGGCACTAAAATTGGTTTCTCAATGTAACAATCATTTTAAAGTAACATTTATAAGGTATTTTTTACTGATCCAATATAATTATTCCATACATTTCAGAATAATGATTAGTTTCTTATTAAGCCTACTTAACTGATGTTGGGGACTGGACAATGTGCATCTGGAGTTCCCAGGGGCATTCTGTTCAGCTCCATATCATATATCTGGGGCCTCTAAAATATTATTACACTAGACATCTTTCAACTATCTGGTTGTAGGTATATCCACAATTTAGCCTACAAAATCTATTTTGATTTAACGGATGCACAAGAAATAGAGGATATACCTAATTGAAATAAAATATTGTTATTCTTTCATTCTTATCTTGTAGAAACAAGTAAATAATGTATTGGGCCAGATCTTCAGCTACTGCACCTCTTTTGAAGTGAGTGGAGCCTGGTTCATTTTCACCAGGTGAGAATCTGGCCTTGAATATGTCAAGGTGAGGAATAGGCCATGTGGGTCAAACTAGGGACTTTTCAGAAGTTTACAGAAGCCTCACTATGTGTCCAAGTCCCGTAAAAAAAATTTTCCAGCTATTCAATTTTCCATAGCTAAAACTTCTGAAATGTTGAGAAACCATTTGTCTTCTGGGGAACTGAGAGTCTTCTCTAATTTTTAAATAAAGCATGTTAGCTGTAACAGATAATCAGACAAGAATAACATATTTCTTATGTAGAGTGATTGTCTTTTTTTGTTTCCAGAAAGATAAAATGGGTTAATCCAGGCTGAAAGAGTTTAAGACCTTACTCTTAATGCTTTTTTCCCTATACTATAATTGATATACCGTAACTTCTTTTATGTACAGTTTGATCCTGGATAAAATTAACTCTGTAAAAATTATATTGTGAGGTTCCATGTTGTCAAGTCTCAGAAGCTTCCAAACGAAATTTCTCAGTTTACAAGTAAATATATGTTTTTTTCTAACTGTCAGCTCTGGAAACTCAACCTGGCATCTGAGAATCAAGCTGTTTTCTTTTTGGCTTATGTTTCATTGCTTGGTTATAAAGCTTCTGCAGGCTAAATTCTGATTCACTTATATCTGTGCAGTTAGATATAAATGGTTTGAAAGAGTAGAGAGAGCAGAAAACAGGAAAAGAGAGAATTAGATGAGAGGTGTAAGTGAGGCAAAATGATATAGGGCTTTGTAAGTGAGGTTCAATTGGATAAAATAAGGGCAATGAAGGGAATCAGAGAAAGGTATAATGTGGCTGAAGAGCTACAGATGAAGAAGAGTTTACCAGTATCATTTTGGACTTAGTAAAATTACCCAGAGAATCAGGGGAAAGATGAACTCATCTTGGATAAAGACTTTTACCATGAGGAAAGAGTTAGATTTAGGAAATGCTAAAGAGGAAGAAACAATAGAAATTATAAACGTACTACCCCCACATACACTTGGGTTGTGTATTGTGGGTTTTGTGAGTGTGTGGTTGTTTTTTTTTTTATGTGGGCAAGATGGCCCTGGTGTTTTGGTCACGTGCTCAGCACGTGGCAAGCTGGGGCCTGTACCTGAGGAAAATACGTAAAGCCCTCCGGCCTCAATGGCCCGGGGAAGCAGAGGATTCTTCGGGCCAATTGGTTGAGAGAGAAACTGGAGTGTGGAGCTCTCTGACT